CGAGCCAAGCTCGAGCTTAAAGCTTAATAAATAAGCTCAAGTCGAGATCTAACTTAATAAGAACTAAATCAACTTAGTTTGAATGGGCCGATACTCAACTTGAGTCGACTCATTCAGACACTTAATGAGAGAAAAAACTTTCGATAAAACTATCAATTAAGTAATCCCAAAGGAAGAGTTAATATTATGACGAGATGAAAGTTTAGTGCAAAAAGATCAATCTAGAAATGATTCACAAATTTTTTGTTGGATTCTACAAAATTTTAGCTTCCAATAATCATTCATCATAATTTAGCATAAAATTAATATTTTCAATGAAATTTTGTTTCATTACCAAGAGAAAATTCAAACCGAAATGGCTATTTTTCCAATAATATAATGTACATTGAACGAAATTATAATTATTATATATTGCTGCTATAATTATATTCCTAATATAAATTTAAACTTTAAATAGGGTGATTTTAGTTGTCCATTTAATAAATGATGGGCTTATATCAAAATTTAATATTTAATGATATCTAAATATAAGCTAAAGAAACTATATTCATGCTTCTTTATATTTGGTTAAATATATATATATATATATATATATATATATATATATATATATATAAGGTATTTTATTTACACAAATGAATATGAGATAAAGCATTTATGTCTAGTTAAATGCTTATATTTAAATAAAATATTTTATTTTTAAGTAAGAAGCATTGCTTAATAGAAATTTATGTCTATTATGCATTTCCATATTTAGCAATATCTTCTATCAAATAAAATTGTATGGGAATAAAATATTATATGTGAACAAATAATTTATATAAACAAGGTATTTATATCTTGCAAAAAATTCTTCTTAGGGTAATTGATATGTTAATTTATGTAATTAGGCTACGATCCTCTGACCTTAGTCGCTCGTCAACTACAATCCTCCGACATCCGTTGCCTGCTTACTACGATCCTCGGACCAACACTGCTAGTCTAAAGTTCTCCAATCAACATCGTCCGACTATGATCTTCTATCATCTATCACTCACTGACTATAATTCTCGGACTAACGTCACCCACCTACTACGATCCTCAAATCACTTTCGTCTGATTACAATCCCTTTGACTTCTATTACCTGCTAACTATGGACCTCTAAATTTTGTTGCCCGACTATAGTCCTTTGACCTCTTTTGCCCACCAATTATTGTCCTTAGACTAACATCACCCAACTATGAACTTCCAACCACTATCGCATGAATATTAATTGTCCTTCAAATCTCCGTTGCTCATCAACTATGATCCTCCGACTTCCTTTACCCATCGACTATAGTCTTTCAACCTTCATCAGTTGCCGACTATGGTCCTCTGACCTTCGTCGTATGTCGACTATGATCCTCTTATCAATGTTGTCCAACTACAGTCCTTGAATCACCTCACCTAACTATAATCCTTGAACCATTGTTGTCTAACTATGACCCTTTCACCACTGTGGCCAGACTATAATACTTATGACCTTTATTTCCAGCTAACTGTGGCCCTCAGATCACTGCAGCTCAACTATGTTCCTCCAATAATTGTCACCAAACTATGGTCCTTCTAACTTTTTTTGCTCGCTGACTACTATCCTTCAGCCATTGTCTCCTGTATGCTACAGTCTTCAGACTTATGCTCTTTTGTCTATTATCACATGGCTACTCCAACACATATTGGCTTCATTTCCTACAATCACTAATAATGCAACATATGCCATTACTTATAGGATTTATGCAAGATGTCGACATCAACTATGACTCCCAAACTTCATCTATGTTGATTCCTGCTAAATGGCTCTTCCAACTTCAATCATATAATATGTTCTTTGAATTGTATCAATATCTTCCCTCAAGAAAGGTATCATTTATAATCAATGACAAACACTAGTGAAATTATATTAATTTGGCCATATCCTATGATTTTTCCCTTTCTTGAATTTTTCTCATAAAAAATCCGTTGTCTTTCACAATTCTAGCACTTCGTCTCTTTATCTATGTATGTGTGTTTGATCTTCTAATAAAACTAGGGCGTCAAACTCTATCTCTCTACAGCTGTGAATGTTCTAACACACTACACTAACAAATTAAATTTATTTTTAAATATAAAGAGTTCAAAATTCTTCATAAAGATGCTCATATATAAAATCTTAATCTTGAGTTATTAATAAACTCCTATTTGTGAAATATGATTTTTTGACTCACGCTAAAATCTTAATCTAGAATTCATTCCATTGAATCTTGAAAGTAAAAAAGTTAGGTCTCTTCAATAATTAATTCATAACTTGAATAATAGAGTACTCAAAATTTTGTGATAAAATCACAAAATTTATTGTTCATTAGAGAATTAATTGAAATTTAAAGCTAAAGATATCATTAGTAGGTGAAAAAATTGCCTAGCTCTAATTCAAGGTTAAAAATATAGTTAGCAAGGTGATAAAATTGCGTAGCTCTAATTATGAATTTTTATTGACGATTTTTTTTTGTATATATTAATTAAATAATGTAAGAATTAAATATTTTAAATTCAATACATTATACTATAAATTCAATAGTACAATGTCTTGTTTAGTTATAGTGTAATAAAATTTAAATTAATAATTTAATTTATTAATCTAAGAGTTAAATTAATAGTCAAAATTTATTAGAACCTTAGTACACCTTTTGTTTATATTCTATAAACTAATGAAGATAAATATTTGAACAGGTGATAGTTAGTTAATAGAAACTAAGTAATTAAAAATTTTCACAAAGCCTCTTCTAATATAATGGAAATCCAACAATTTATAAGGAAGTTCTCATTGCTACAGTCCTTTCTCCTAATGCTTATGATAATGTGCAGAAATTTTAATGTTTAGGTAATTCTAGCTGACATGATAGCATGCTCAGATTATGGATGATTTGGAGAAGGAAACTTCAGATTCTGTTCCGGTTCTGCTAGATCAAGCTAGCAAAGAGCAAGATCAAGTTGCTAATTGAGTTTCACAAGAAGCTAAGGCAGCGGTGAGATCTTATGCTCTGCTGCTGCTCTTGCTATGGAGGAGAAATTATTAGGTGTAGACATCGGATAGAAAGAATCATTCAGATTTTTCTCTGTTTACAATAAAAGCGCAGTAAAAGCGTAGCTACTATAGTAACTGTGCTTTCACTATGCTTTTACTGTAGACAGAGAGAAATCCGGGTGATTCTCCCTGTCCGTTGTCCTCACCTAATAATTTGCCATAGACGGTGGTGTGCACGACAAATTATTCTGTCCGGATTGCTGCTCTTTTATTGAGCTTTTGATGTATTTTTACAAAAGGGCAGCTAATACATAATTTTAATTGCATATTAGCTGCCCTTTTGCTGAAAATACAGCAAAAGCGCAGCAAATATCTTACTCATCGAGTATTTGCTGTCATTTTATTGCACTTTTGCTGCTTTTTTTAAATACTCAGTAAAAGGACAGCAAAATGGCAGCTAATATGTCCTTTTGTAAAAATATATCAAAAGTACAGTAAAAACAGAATAAATTCGGACGCAAACTTGCATCCGATTTCTGCATATAATGTCGCTCTGCTAGGGTTTTGTTCTGCTAGGGTTTTGTTCCGCTTTCTCCTGGCCGCCACCACCTCCCTCCTGGGGAGGACTTCCGAAGGGATGTCCTCCTCCTTTTTTCCGCCACCTAACGCCTCTCTCAACTACCCCTCCTCTCCCTCCACCTCTCTTCTTCCCCGTGATTGGAAGAGTTTGATTGCCTCCCAACCACTTGTCTCTAATGAATTTACTTCATCGATATCTCATTACCCGACGGTTAACGCTACAGCCCACTTCACCTCTGCGCAGTTCTCTGCGGGATCCCCTGAATGGGCTCTTTCCCTTGTCGGCTATTCGATTGGCCGTCGACCATATTATGAGGCTCTTCTTGCTACAATCAAAAAATCTTGGCCTTTGAAAGGCTCCCTCACTCTGCTCACCCTAGATGAGGGATTCTTTCTCCTAAAGTTCAACAACAGAGAAGATTATGACATGGCTTGGTCCGGCGGACCCTGGTTTTTCTTCGGAAAACCTTTCATTCTACAGAAATGGACCCCAGACTTCGTCCCTGTTCGCGAAGAGTTTCCTTCTATCCCGTTATGGATCAAGATCAAAAACTTCCCTTTGTCTTGCTGGACGCCTGAGGGAATCTCAAAGATAGCAAGTTGTGTGGGTATTCCGTTGGCTGTTGACGCTCTCACTGCGGCCAAGACAAGGCTGACTTTCGCCAGAGTTTGCGTCCAGGTATGTAGTTCTTCTCCTCTCCCGGATGAGATCTACTATACTGTTGATGATAAAAAATTCCCTCTTACTGTGCTGTACGATTGGAAGCCGACTCACTGCAACTTCTGTAATTCCATCATGCATGCTCCTAATGCTTGCCCAAAAAACCCAAATCCGCAGCAAAACGACAACATCCCTAACCGTGGAAGGAGTACTAGCCGCAAGCCTAGGAATTTCACTCCCAGGTTGAATATCCCGAAAGCTCCACCTCTGAACACCATGCATCCCCAACCAACACCTACTCCTCCTCAAGCTTCCCCCCCTTTGAACCAACCTGCCATGGCCCCGACCACCAATCTTATTCCAAATCTCAACTCACCATCTGAGGACTTCACCTCGCATCTCCCATCCCCTACCCCCACACAACATTCCCCCACTAAACCTCCCCCTGATCCATCCCCGACCGTTCCTATTACCAATAAATTTGATGCCCTTTCTTACCAAGACCCTCTTGCTGATTCAGCAGTCTCTAGCTCGAACATGAATGAGAAGCAGGACCAGATGCCAACCTCATCCTCTTACACTGAAACTTCGGGACAGCCACCCGATCCTCATAATTTGGGTCCTAACTCCAAAACCAAAGATATACAGCAACCTTATGTGCAATCTCAACCAGCCAACAATCCCAAGAACACACGTGCCAAATCGGCCAAAAAGGCCAACTCCTCTTCTTCAAAGTCCCAATGACCAGGCCTCCACCTCTGCTGGCGTCCTGGAACACTCGCGGGTTTAATAGCCCGGACAAAGCCGTTAGCTGCAAGAACCTGGTTTCTAAATTTGATCTGGATCTTCTTTTAAAATTGGAGACCGTTTGGTAACTCAAATTGCGGTTTGAACCTTCCAACAGTGCTTTGAACTCTTGATTCGGACTTATTTGGGCTCGGATTGGGTCGATCTTGGTGTTTTTGGGTTCGTATTTCCGAGACGCTCAGTTTGACTGTAAGATCGTTGAAATCGGAGTTCGGATGCTCCCGGATTTAATTTTTGAAGTCTCCAACTAGTTTTTGCCTCGAGATTCGTGCCTGATCAAGCTAATTTTGTGATGATGTATCAAACGTAATGACGCTTTGCTAAATTAAATGCTAATTCTGTTGATTTAGAATTATTTCTAAATTGAAATAAGCTTTTATTTGAAAAGTTTTAATGGCTTATTATTATAATGAATTTGGGAATATATTATTTTCCTATATAATTGATATGATTGTGATTAGATTAATGCTAATTCTTTGTCTTTATTGACTTTAGGCATGGAGTCATGAGCTTTATATTCTATGATGCAGTAGAGAAGAAGATTGTCATATGCAGGGATTTTATTTTTGATGAGACTAGCATGTTGAAGTCTCGTGACTCTAAGTAAGTGGAGAATTTCATTGGGACTACAGATGCATTGCAGAAGTTGGAGTTTGATGCAACTTAATTTACTCTACAAAGATAGATCATTTTTACTCATGTAACTAATTTAGCTACAAATCAAGAGGTAGAGGAAGATGTTGAATATAAGATTCCTACTCATGAGTCTATTACAAGGAATAGGACCATGTTCTAGAATATTTCAAAGCTAGCTTGGTTGAGGGATCACATTTCATTTAGACTTTTAGTCACATAGGCTAAAGTACCTAGTTACTATAAGGAAATAGTGGATAATCCTAATGATGATATATAGAAGAGGGTTATGGATAAAGAAATGGAGTCTCTTCATAAGAATACTACTTGGAGGTTGGTGAAGCTTCCTCTAAGATGAAAAGTCATTGGGTACAAATAGAAGAGTGCCATGAAGGAATTAAGGATCTTATGGAGCTGATGTTCAGTATAAGGCTAATTTAATGGAAAAAGGCTCAACACAACAAGAATGGATTACTTATGATGAGGTGTTCTCCCTAGTGGTTAATAATCTCTCAACCTGTGGTCACTTGGCACTTGTAGCACAGTTTGGTCCTATTTTGAAGTAGCTCAATCCAGACATTGTACAAACATTTGACATTCAGTTTATACATGATACAAGAAAGAGTGATTGTCAAGTTGTGAGAGTATCCTGAGGACTGAGGTGTAATATCAGTTTGTTGAGTTAAGAATTTGAAAGATCAGTTCAGTAACCTAATCCAAAGCCAGATCCTGGTTAAGAAAGGTCTCTCGTCGCGATCCGGCTCGGGCGGGATCCGTCCCCGTCGGGTCGGGTCGTGACATGAGGTATTTGAAGGGTACAGTTAAAACATGTTACGAGATACAGTTACTACGACAGTGGTGCATGACTCATGACTTGTCCACTTGCTTGAAGAATTATGCTCAACTTAATCCATTGGGAGGGGAGGTATTTAGGTAACCATTTGGATCTATTCATTTAATATTTGAGCATGGTTTGTCATATTGCACTTTCTGAAGTGAAAGATGAGGTGGAGATTGTTGATTTAGAATTATTTTCAAATTAAAATAAGCTTTTATTTGGAAAGTTTTAATGACTCATTATTGTAATTGATTAGGGAATATATTATTTTCCTAATTAATTGATTTGATGGGGGATTATAATAGGAAGCTTTTTTCCTTTAGTATTTTGCATCAAATCTATAAGTTGAGGGGTTTGAGGGCTTATGAATGAGAGGAAGAGAGAGCTCATTGTAATTTCTATTTTTTCCAATCAAGTTAAATCACCGTCTCTTCCCATGGACGTAGGCATCTTTGCTGAATCGCATAACTCGCTATGCTTATTGTGTTGTTTGTAATATGATTTTTTGTTTTGTTTTTCAATTGATTTCACAACAAATACATATTTCTTTATGTCATTTGTGAGGGACATTCATTGCATATCATATTAACGGCATTAATACTTCCAAACTTTCGACTTCACAAGCACAAATATGCGTATGTACACTTTGCCATAGCCCGACTAAGGCATGTTTCCTATGCTCTATAGCCTTTTTTTTTTTTTCATTGATCACTCATATAAAATAAAATAAATAGGATTGCTTCCACTGTTTTCACATCATCATATAAGTTGATAGGATAGAAGCCCAAAACACCAAAGAAACTACTTAAATTTTTTTCCAAATGATTATTAAAATGCTTATAATAGACCTAAATCAAACTTAAATTTCAAATAAAAAAAGAATTAAATCATCCCAAAATTGTCCCTAAAAACCAAATTTAACACCAAATTAACAAAAATTAAGTCAAACAAACACATTTAAATAAAATCAACTTGAATTTCCGTAGTTAAATCAATTCAATTTAATTCAAACCCTAATCAACATAATCAAATCAATTTCAAACTTCAAACAAACTCATTCCAAATCCTTCAATTTCAAACTTCATTAATTGCAAATTTAAATAATAAATTTGTTGCGTCCAGGAGTATTCGCGGCGGTAGAGAAATATAAAGTTTATCGTCTTAGCGTTATACTCATTTGGGCTCGGATTGGGTTGATCTTGGTGTCGTTGGGTTCGTATTTCCGAGACGCTCAGTTTGACTATAAGATCGCTGAAATCGGAGTTCATATGCTCCCGAAATTTAATTTTTGAAGTTTCCGAACTGATTTTGCCTCGAGATTCGTGCCAATCAAGATGATTTTGAGATGACGTATCAAAATTAAAAAATAAAATACATTTAATTAAAACTTTTGACCAAAACTAAGAAATGACGTCTAGATATCAAAATCAAGAAAAATAGAATAATCCCATAAGGATAAAATAAAAATAAAAGAAGAATAAAATTATTGCATTAGTCAGGACATTCTTACATAGGTCCGGTCACCGGACATAGAAATAGGTCCGGACATCCAATAAAAACTTGCCATGTGGACTGCGCTTTGACTGTGTGTTTTGACTGCGCTTTGACTGTGTTTTTTTTTACTGTGCTTTACCTACGCTTTTGACTATGCTTTTTTGACTCAAAGCACAGTCTACGTGGTAAATGTTTAGTGGATGTCCGGACCTAGAAATATATCCGGTGACCAGACCTAATAATTTGCCCATGCAAGATTGCTTAGCTTTTGGTAGCTAAGTTATAAGTCCCATTTTCTAAAAGTAACAACAACTTACCCTATCATTCATTTCATTGCAACTTTGATTGTATCTATTTTTTATTAGGTAGATTTAGCTGATATTACTCTCCAAAAAAGTTGGGCTTTCTTAATCCTTTGCGGGAAGAAGGATGTTAAGGCTCATTACATTTCATTAGACAATGTCCTAGTTATGACCATGCAGTGCTCAATTTAATTTTAGGATCCGAGGTTGATTTTCTTAATTTGTATTAAAAAATATAAACAATATATTTCTAATAAAATGAATAATTCAAATAATAAAATTCAAAATTTTAAATTTTAAAGCACAACATAAGATAGTTTGGAGCACTTAGACTCTCAAAACATAGTACTTCATAATCTTCTTCCTTTGACTCTGAAAAAAAAAAAACGTTCTAAATTAAATGAATTCCCTTTGAAATCTTAAAATATTTGGCACTACTTTAATTGAGAGTATTCCAAAAAGATCACTTCTCATAGGATGTAATTAATCATAAGATTTCCTTTATGATAAATATGTATGTTAGAATAAAATAAATCTTATATAATATAAATATTTTTGAATCTTTTGATAGTGGAAAGTTTATGTGAATGTAAATATTTTTGCTTAAACTTTTTTTTTTTTTGAATATTTATAGAATATTATTTTAATCTTTTGAGATGGTATACTATTCTTAATGCAATATTTAATAAAAACTTCAAATCCATGGTTTATTTATCCTACCAATATTCCAAATGTTGAGCAACAAGCTACAAGGCGAGGTTAGCACAAAGGGTTTCACTTAGGAGGAAGTAATACATTTCAATAAGATTTCTTATCTCCTATTAAACATATTTCAAATATAATGATATTATTACTTATAGCTAAATATGATCTTGAGCTTGAATACATGGATGTGAAAACAACTTTTCTATTTGAAGAACTTGAGGAGTTCATAAATATGATCAAACCAGACGGATGGAATGGGCTAAAGCAATCTCCGTGACGATGGTATAAGAAGTTCGATTCATTTATGAATCTGAATTCTTTCAAAAGAATCACATTTGATATTTATGTTTACTACAAAATATTCTCAAAGAACAATGTGATATATTTACTTCTATATGTCGATTATATGCTCATAGCAAATGACAACACTATAGAGATAACAAAGCTAAAGAGATTTCTCAATAGTTGATTAGAAATCAAAGATTTGAGTTAGGCCAAATGTATTATTAGAATATATTTAGTAAGGGACAAAGATAAAAACTTATTATGTTTATCTCAATTCAAATATATCTGAAAAGTTCTAAAGAAATTTAGAATGGATACTACTAAATCAGATTCATCATTGGGTTCTTAGTTCAGGCTTTTGTGTTAAAGTCAACAAGTGAGGAAGATTAAAGGTATATGAATAAAGTTTTATGTGTAGCAAGGTGCAACTATAAAAGTATTAATTACGAATATATGATTTTTTTTTCTGAATTTTTCAAATCACCCGGGAAAACATCCGTCAGAAATCCGTCAAAAAATCTGTCTAAAAATTAGTCGAAAATATTTCATTGTAATTGAAGCAAGACCATCAATTGGGTAGACCTTTTCTTACAAGGAATTGACATAGGAGACACATGGAAGAATGGAGAAATTCTTCTGTGCAGTCACTGGATGCCGTTCGGAGGCGAATCAGGATGAGCCACATTACTTTTTTTATCGAGTGACGTAACGTATTATGATTTTCCTCCTGATGGTCCGATGACCGTACAGAATAATTTTCTAGAAGAATGAGATACTTCATGAACTAGCAGATCCTACTCTGTTCCATGACTTTCTTCCACGTTCTTGTCAAGATATTCTGATAAAAAATTATTCAAGAAAATACCAACCAGAGAAAATTTTTGGACTGATACAAACTATTTAGAAAAATCTATTTTTGTGACAAGAAAAAATATTATTTGTTCAAAGGAAAAAAAAAGCTGTGCATTAGTTTCCACGTTCTTGTCAAGATATTCTGATAAAAAATTATTCAAGAAAATACCAACCAGAGAAAATTTTTGGACTGATACAAACTATTTAGAAAAATCTATTTTTGTGACAAGAAAAAATATTATTTGTTCAAAGGAAAAATAAAACTGTGCATTAGTTTTATTAATTTTCTTATAAATTTTGTTTTAAAATTTTATAGTTGAAAAAACAGGAATAGAAATTAGTAATGATTAGAAAAATAATATTTGAAATATTAAGTTCTCATGATATAATGAGATATTTTTGCTTTTTTATGGCTAATAAATAATAATCAGTAAAGGAAAAATGTAAATTATCAATGGAATTTCTAGAGGAAGTTTTTGGTCGAACATTCCGGT